TATTTTATTTATTTATTTGAAAGAGAGACAGCAAGAGCGAGAGATGGAACACAAGCAGGGGGAGTGGGAGAGGGAGAAGCAGGCTTCCCGCTGAGCAGGGAGCCCAAAGCGGGGCTCAATCCCAGGACCCTGGGATCTTGACCTGAGCTGAAGGCAGATGCTTAACGACTGAGCCACCCAGGCACCCCGGTACTTGACCGTTTTGTTTGTTCCTCAGCGTGTCCAGTACTTGGGTAGCTTTGGAGCCACAGGGGCAATTTGACCATTTCCCTTCTGACACGTTAGCCTCGGTTCACCTTCAGGCAAAACTATTTTGCGCAAATAGGGAATCCACACACAGGGGTCCCGGGAATCTGTCACAGTTGAGCTGAAGTCCCAGCTCTCCAGATTTACCCTTAGCACTTGCGTCCTTTCCTTGCTGCTGGAGTCTGACAGTTTGCTTGTCCGTGTCAGGAGACGGGAATGAGTTCTCTGTATGTCTTCAATCCCATCTTTGGCAAGTGGAGTCAGGTGGTTCCCCCACTGCTGAAGCGGCCCATCTTGCAGTCTTTGCTTCTCCCCATCATGGATCAAGACTATGCCAAGGTGCTGCTGTTGATTGATGATGAGTATAAGGTATGAGACTTGAGAGTGGCTGGAGAGCGCCTGGGGGGGTCGGGTGTGGGGAGGGTGGTCCCGCAGCAGTTCGTGGCCAGAGCTGGAGCTCTGCAGTCAGCACATGTGTGGGCTTGAAGGGCATCTTCCTGCAGTGTGGAAACTCAGGCTCTTAGCAAAAGTAGATTTAAGCCCTATTTGGGTTCAGTGGACTTTAATTCTTTTAAGATTGACTTTTATTCTTAAGGCTTTTTGATGGTGAACTGTAATAAATCTTGAGCAACTGTGCACCAGAGCACCCTTTTCCTTTAACACTTTCCTCGGGCTTTCTGGGGTTTTCAAGGTCACGGCGTTCCCAGCCACTCGGAATGTCTTGCGACAGCTACATGAGCTTGCCCCTTCCATCTTTTTCTATTTGGTGGATGCAGAACAGGGACGGCTATGTGGATATCGACTTCGAAAGGTAGGGAAGGCACCTCTTGGCAGGACCTTCCATGGGAGGGGTAGAAGTGTTTCCTGACTACTTGGCTAAGAAGTGGATTATACTATTCATTCTTTTTTTTTTTTTTTTTTTTTAAGATTTTATTTATTTATTTGACACAGAGAGAGTGAGAGAGAGAGAGAGAGAGCATAAGCAGGGGGAGTGGCAGGCAGGCAGAGGGAGAGGCAGGCTCTGTGCTGAGCAAGGAGCCCGATGTGGGACTCGATCCCAGGACCCCGGGATCACGACCTGAGCCGAAGGCAGACGCTTAACGACTGAGCCACCCAGGCGCCCCACTATTCATTCTTTTGTAAATGTGGATCACTATAGTCCTGATGTCTGATTCGTAGTTCTTTTCATATTGAGCAGCAGCTACATGGCAGGCAAGGTTCTAGGTACTGTGAAGAGAGTAGTGCCCAATAGATGACATTTCTGCCCCATGGATTTTTTTTTTTTTTTTTTTTAAGATTTATTTATTTCAGATTGTGGGAAAGAGAGCACGTGAGTGGTGGGAGGGGCAGAGGGAGAGGGAGGAGGAGAGAATCCTTAAGCAGACTCCTTGCTAAGCTTGGAGCCCGACATGGGGCTCAATCCCGGGACCCTGAGATCATGACCTGAGCTGAAATCAAGAGCCAGCTGCTTAACCAACTGAGCCACCCAGGCACTGCCCCCATGGAGTTTTTATTCCCTGTTCCTTTTCTATAGCAGAGAGAAGGGATGTTGTTATCCATTCTTGAGAGGGTGGGAGGTGGGAATGGGGATTAAGTAATGAGTTGTACTTTCTGTATGAAGATGATGTTACTGACCCATTCTTGATAGAATGAGTGCTTTGAATCTTATTTTTAGAAATGGGATTGATTTGCTCTAATGCTGATGTACTTGAGTCTAGCATTAGCAAACAGTGATAGACGCTGGCCCTGAGGGCCAGCTCTGAGGTTCACAGGGGGCTGGCCTTCCTGCAGACAGGAGGGCTCTGTGGCATGTACTCACCAGAGGCCCTGCATCCTGTCCCTCAGGGCCTTTTGAGAGACAGTGCAGCATAGAGCTTAAGAGCTTGGACCCAGCTACCTGAGTGTGAAGCCAAGCTCTATCACTTATTAACTTCGTGACCTTGGGCCCATGACTTCTCTGGCCCTCTGTTTTCTTTTCTTTCTTTTTTTTTTTTTTGGCCCTTTGTTTTCTTGCCTATAAAATAAGATGATAGAGGACCTACACCGTAAGGTTGTCGTGAAGAGTCAGGGAGTTAACATGTGTAAATCACATGAAGCAATGCCTGGCACATGGCAAATGCCATCTAAGTTTTAGCTGTTGTTGTCTTAAAAATGCAGTGTCCTGGGCGCCTGGGTGGCTCAGTTGGTTAAGCGACTGCCTTCGGCTCAGGTCATGATCCTGGAGTCCCTGGATCGAGTCCCGCATCGGGCTCCCTGCTCGGCAGGGAGCCTGCTTCTCCCTCTGACCCTCCCCCCTCTCATGTGCTCTCTCTCTCTCTCATTCTGTCTCAAATAAATAAATAAAATCTTTAAAAAAAAAAAAAATGCAGTGTCCTTTCTTGATATTTTGTAACAGCTGACCTTTCCAGGAACAGCATGGGAGGTAGTCTCCCCAGAAAACACGTTCTTTACCCTTGTGGGTGAAAAAAAATTGTCCCTTCAAGTTGAAAGAAGAGATGGCTCTTTGTGGATAGAGGGGAGCAAGCTCCCGGGTGTCATGATCAGTGGAGTCCTGAGGACATGGGAAGAAACAGTGGCCAAGGGAAGACAAAGGACACAAAGCTCCACATATACACAGTATGGATGGATAATAATGTATTTAACCATGGGGCGCCTGGGTGGCTCTGTCCGTTAAATGTCCTACTCTTGGTTTTGGCTCAGGTCATGATCTCAGGGTCATGAGATTGAGCTCTGCATTGGGCTCCATGTTCAGTGTGTGGAGTCTGCTTGAGATTCTTTCTCCCTCTCTGCCCCTGCAGCTCATGTGTGCTCGCATGCTCTCTCTCTCTCAAACAAATGAATTTTTTAAAGAATAATGTATTTAACCATGAAACTTTGTGAATTGGTTTTCTTTGACTATAAAGAACATTTCCTATAATGTTTCAAGGTCCCTGCCAGCTTAGTAATTTACTGCTGGCCTCAGATACAGGAATCGTAGCTATTAGTAGTAAGTGGTAAACTTTCCTTGGATATTTCCTACTCAGATAAACAATGAGATACCACGGAACATTCCTCTCTTTTCTTACTAGCTCTAGTATCTTGCCTAATCAAACTGAGAGTTCTAAAACGTCTGCACAAACTAGATCCTTATTGCTATTTTCCGAGGAGCTCTGATTTCTGTTTCTTTGGGCACGAAGGCCCCAAATAAAGGAGTGTGGGATGTATCCGGCTACAGCTGTCACAGGTCTAAGTGTGCCCTCCAGATTGTAAGTGCTGGCTCTCTTGCCCTGGCCCTAGGATCTAAGCACTGAGCTGAGTTGGGAGCTGACTATTCCCGCAGAAGTGCAACGCATCGTCAAGGTGAAGGGAAAGCGCAGCAGTGAGCACGTTCACTCCCAGGGCCGCGTGATGGGGGACCGCAGCGTGCTCTATAAGGTATGGTTCTGCAGTCAGGTGCCAAGCAGAAGGGCAAGGGTTTGGATTCGGGCTCTAGGATTTGGTAGCTACTTGAGCTTGAGTGAGTCATTTCATTCCTTTGAGCCTTACTTTATTGTCTGTCAAGTGAGTATAACGTGCCCTCCTCATAGGGTTGTTGTGATGATCATATGACGCTCACGCGTAGCATAGTACCTGGCCTAAGGCTGCCACCCAGTAGATGTTAGCTCTTACTGTTAGTGATAGTGCTGATAGGACTTTCTGGGGTTAAGCCTTCGTTGACCCATTAGAAACTCTATCGCTGTGATCCAACGCTGGTTAGTGGTGAAGGAGGGAGACAGAGAGGTGGCTAGTGGGCTGCAAGATGTTGGGAGAGAAGGCAGTCTTGTAGTGGTGCGTGGTCATCCGTGACACCCTCTGCAGAGTGTGGGCTGAGTTGGAGGAGATGTGATAGAGCAGGGTAGCACGGCCAAGGCAGCTGACGGGGAGGCTGCTTCACAGGGTGTGGGGCAGTGCCGCGGGCTGCCGGCCGGCTGGACTGTCTGGGTACAGACCTGGCTCTGCCCCACACTAGCAGCTCATCATGGGTCATTTGTCGCAGGATTGCTTTGAAGATTAATGATAACAGGTAACTTGGTTAGAACAGTGCCATCTGCGTAGTTAACATTATTGGTGCTCTTGATTTGAAATCTTTAGTGATGGATGCCTTCCATGCTGCAGTCAGTTTGACTTATTCAGAATGGCCAAAATAATACAAATTCTAAAGTACATTTGATTGTACTAGAAAAAGTATGTTCTTTATGTAATTTTACCTTTATGAATTAAAATTTACTAAGAGTACTTGTGTTTTTCTATGTTGAAAAAAATAGAGTAGGCTTTTTTGGATTCATATTCATCACACACATTTTTTAGTTTAGTTTTTTTTTTTTCAATAAGCTTTTTTTTGTTTTGGCCTAATTTTAGATTTACAGGAAAGCTGCAAAGATGGTACATTGAATTTGCATGTATGCATTACCTGGTTTCCCGTGGTGGGGCTGTGGTACATCTGTCTGAACTAAGAAACCAGCATCAGTACAAGACTGTTAACTAAACTCCAGACTTTCTCAGGGTTTCACCAGTTTTCCCACTAAGGTCCCTTTCTGCCCCAGGCCCAGCCCCGGGCCCCACACTTCACGGACGTGCCACGTTTCTCTAAGTCTCCTTTGTCCTGTTTAGTCTTTCGTGACCTTGATAGATTTGAAGAGTACTAGACAGGTATTTTGTAGACAATTTTGGTTTGTCTGATGTTTTTCTCATGGTTAGACTGTGGTTGCAGGTTTAAAAGGAATACCACAGAGGGGAAGCTGTACTTTTTTTGGTGAGGGGGGAGGTTACTAGCGGGATGTCAGGCACTCTTTTAGACTCTGGGATACATCAGTGAACAAAATAGACAAAATTGAGGCTGTCACTGTATTCAGGAGATGCCAAAAAGAAAATAAATAGATAAACGTACAGCATATCAAAGGGTGACTAGTTCTATAGAAGAACAAAACCGAGAAGAGAGGAGGGGAAGCCGGGATTGGAAGGGGTGCAATTTAAAATAGGGAGGTTAAGAAGGGTCTCAGTGAGATAGTGACACCTCAGGAAGGTGGAAGGATAGTGCGTGACATCCGGGGAAGAGCTTTCTGGACAGGAAGGCTGGAGTGGACCTGGAGTGTTCCAGAAACAGCAAGGGGGACAGTATGACTAGAGTGGGGTGAGCGGGGAGAGTCCAGGTTGCTGAGGTCGGAGGGTGGTGGGACGTATCACGGCCACCACTCTTGCCTTGATGTTGAGTGAGCTAGAGTGCCGGTGGGAAGTTGGGAGCGTGGGGAGGCCTACGGGGAGCAGGCTTTAGGCAGAGGTAGGACAGGTTTCCCTTTGGGATATATCAGGTTTGAGGTGGGACATTTAAGAGATACTGAGATGGCAGCCTGTTAGAGTCTGGAGTTCAGGGAGGGTATAGCGTGGGTATGTAACCTTGGCCATTGCCAGCACCCCTGGTTGGTGTGACCACAGGAGCGAGTGTAGACAACGTCCAGGAGACTGGGGAGATGAGGAGCCTGCAGAATAGACTGAGGAGGAGGGGCCAGTGGGGTGGAGGAAAACTGGGGGCCATGTGTCCTGAATGCCAGGTAGAGAAAGTGTTTTTGTTTTTTGTAAAGATTTTATTTATTTATTAGAGAGCGAGCACAAGCAGGGGGAACGGCAGGCAGAGGGCGAGGGAGATGCAGGCTCCCCGCTGAGCAGGGAGCCCGATGCGGGACCCAATCCCAGGACCCTGGGATCATGACCTGAGCCGAAGGCAGACGCTTATCCCAGTGAGCCACCCAGGCGCCCCGAGAAAGTGTTTTGAGGAGGGGCAATCACCTGTGTCGCCTTGTACTAGCAGGTCAGGTGAGACGAGGACTGAGACTCATCTGTTGGTTTAGGGGTGGGGCGGGGGGTACCGGGGCCGAGAACCAGCATTGCCAGAGCAGTGGCTTAGCTCAGTGAGTGGGCAGGTTGGATTGTATCTTGAGTTAACCATTTGCTGCGTCTGCGGCGTGAGCAAGTTGCTTTACGACCTGCAGCCTTTCCTCACCTACCGCCTGTGGATGACCAAAGCTCCGTTGCGAGGTTGTTTGTGGGAGTCCATGAGGTGACGTGGGCAGAGCACCGGGCGTGGCACGCGGCACCCGGGGGACTCTAACCGAGGGCGGTGATGACGAGCTCCGAGGACAAGCTCTTCTAGCCAGGAAGCCCGATTCCTCCGCCGGGCCAGCGGGCTCCAGGTCTGCCTCTCCGCCCAGGGCTCACAGCACAGCGGAGCTCGTGATTGGCCATCGTGGTGCTGAAGGCGCTCTTCTCTCCTTCTCCCAGAGCCTGAACCCCAACCTGCTGGCCGTGGTGACGGAGAGCACAGACGTCCACCATGAGCGCACCTTCATTGGCATCTTCCTCGTCGATGGCGTCACTGGCCGCATCATCCACTCCTCCGTGCAGAGGAAAGCCAAGGGCCCCGTCCACATTGTACACTCAGAGAACTGGGTGGTGGTAAGAGTGGCAGATGTGCGGTGTCAGTCCCAGGTTCACGACCCAGCCAAGACCTGTGTCTCAAATCCCTTCCTTGCCTCTCGTTCCAGAAACCAGTGGCCTCTTTGTGTTTCTGTAGGATCCAAACCCCTGGATGGCAGTTGAGGTGCTGGTTAGGGGGCTCGGCTCAGGAATTAGACCACCTCGGGCTCACGGCAGCCCGTCCCTTTCCCGACTGTGCGACCTTGAAGTGGTTATTGAGCTCTCTGTGTTGCATCACTTGTGAAGGAGGGCTAGGAGAGTGGCCTCTGGTCTGGGTTGGAACAACCCACATGATAAGCACTCAGACCTTTGCTGTTGTTATTCTGACTTCTAAGTATCTTGAGAACTCCTTTGTCTTAGGGTGAACTTTGGGTAAAGCTAGATAAAACTACCCTGAAAGTTAGTAAACTTGGTAGCAAGGAAGAAAACTGGGGTGCTGGGTGGTTTCTTTCCTTCCTGGACGTGTAGCTCATGCACGGAAAGAAAGGTGCCTCCCCGCGGCATGCCCCTTTCCAGCCGAGGTGGCAGCTAAGTCCGCAGTGGCCGCCCCTTTCCGCAGTACCAGTACTGGAACTCCAAGGCCCGGCGCAACGAGTTTACCGCGCTGGAGCTCTACGAGGGCACCGAGCAATACAACGCTACCGCCTTCAGCTCCCTGGACCGCCCCCAGCTGCCCCAGGTCCTCCAGCAGTCCTACATCTTCCCCTCCTCCATCAGCGCCATGGAAGCCACCATCACCGAGCGGGGCATCACCAGCCGGCACCTGCTTAGTGAGTGACCAGGGGAGGGTCTTCGGGGTGACAGGCTCCGTAGGGTTGCCACCCTGAAGGACCCAGCTGCAGGTGCATCGCCGGCACAATCCTGTTTTGACCACTAGGGGAGGCTAGCGAGGCGGGCTTAATTTCAGCAGGAAAAGATCTTTAGTCCAGCTTTGCCGCCTGTAAGAGATTGACACGACTCTCATTTCTTCCCTTTTTGTTTGTTTGGGAGAGAGTGCATGTGCGCAAGATGGGGGGCGGTGGGGAGAGGGGCAAAGGGAGAGGGACAGAGAATCTTTTTTTTTTTAAGATTTTATTTATTTGCGAGAGAGAGAATGAGAAACAGAGAGCATGAGAGGGAGGAGGGTCAGAGGGAGAAGCAGACTCCCCACTGAGCAGGGAGCCTGACGCGGGACTCGATCCCGGGACTCCAGGATCATGACCTGAGCCGAAGGCAGTCGCTTAACCAACTGAGCCACCCAGGCGCCC